TGGTAGGACAAAGACTGTTGTTCATCCCGGTGGACGAGCGTCTAGCCACGATTCGCATCAAAGCGAGACTCTTCAACATTTCACTCATCTGCGCCCATGCCCGTCGGAAAAGCAGTAAGCTAAGACTGACAGATTCCCATCGAACACGCTACCACAGAGTACCAAAAATGCACTTAAGATAACGAAACCTCAGCAAAATGTTTTCAAAATTTTTTCGAAGTTTCAAGGGTAAACCAAATATCCTCGTTTAAAATATACGATTGAAGTGATGGAGCTCTATGGAGGCTCAGTTTTTAGCTTTGCCATTCCCTACTCATTGAAAGCCAGACCTATCTTACCGGAGCGAAATTTCACTCGGATTTGCTCGAAGCACACAGGTAGCGGAGAGTTGAGGTTTTTTAAGAAAATTCACCTTTTTGGCTCTTTTTAAAAAGCTGAGCTAACGTGGAGTCCGCGGTTAACTTCGGAACCTATAGTATTGATAGGTATGTTTTCATCTTGAGCGGTGGCCAGGCAGTAACTAAGATTTTGTGGCAAGTCTCTACAGAAGATGCTTAACTGGAACACGTTCATTACACCTCGGCTACAGGGGCATGTTGTGAAGGTGGAAGGCAGAAAAGCCACAAACTGCAACCAAGTTTGTACTTAATATTTCAATAAAAAGCTTTTGTTGAGTCGCATTGCGATATTAGTAAAGAAGAACCCAGACCAATGTACAGAAACGATGATGAAGCGCCTCCACTAGAGCAAGACAACAAACGTTCTTCGACGGTGCAGTGAGAAAGACTGAAAGTCTTCACGAACCAGCTGCTTGGGCCTTATAAGTGCGCGTTCAGACAGTGCATCAAATTCTGGAAAATACTCTTGATGAGCTGCTTTGGACAGCACGAAAATAAGCTGTTTCTACGATGGCATCGGTAAATCTGGAATTCACGCTAAACTAATTGATCTATCTATGTAGGGCAGTGACTTTGAGCAGCAATTCTAGCCCCGTCAAAATTGGCAGGACTACTTTACGCAAGATATATCGCCATGTATATATAGACGACGAGCAAAGAAGAAGATGGAAGAACAAGGAATGATGAACTGTACGAGCTCTGAAATAATATCGGTATAGAAGAACGAGTAAATATACGATGATTTCGCTAGCTTTGCATGTCGTACTCACTTATCGGGTGAGAAGATTCCTCGACACCTCGCTCATCAGCGCCCATGCCCCAACGGAAGATAAGAACGAGGCGTCCAATGATCTCTTCTATGAGCAGTTGGAACACACTTACGAGCGCTGCCCCCGCCATGATATCAAAATCCCGCAAAGGAGGGATCTTTAGCACCACTGTCGGAAAATTCAGCCTCCATGACGAAACGTCCGAAAGCGAACAGAGGCTAATTGACTTCGCCGGGGCTCGAAACATAGTGATATGCAGTACTAAGTTCAAGCATAAAAAGATCCATCAACCTTGGTGGTTGTCTGCGATTTACTTGAAATTTTCCTACTGGGTAGTTACATATGCATAAATTACACGTCATTTGATCAAACTTTTATTTTCCCATCTGCTTTAACTAATCGAAAGTTTTGCGTGTTTGTGGTAAATTTTCTCAGGCAACTCTGATATCTACATACATATGTACGCATATGCATGACATAATAACTGCTATCAAAAACGCAGTAACGGTGACTTCATTTCGCATGCAAAACGGATGGAAATGACAGCAGATAAGAAAGTGATAAAATAATTTATGCTCTCTATATTAAATGAGTTTGAGAAGCCAGCCAAGAAGTATCTTAAACAAAAAATTACGTAATGCTTACACACATAAATACTCGTATGTAAGGAAATATGCTAAGTAGTTATGTACACATATATTTAATTATGTATTTATTTGACCGGTTGTACTTTTATTTTTCCATTTATGCGACACTTTGGCGTTGTTGGTTGAATTTTTTATAAACACACTGTAAATTTTTTATAGATTTTTTAAATGCATAGATATCTGTCGCTAAGGTAAAAGCTATTAGAAAACAGAGCGCACTTAAAATTTATGGTTATTGCTTACATATACTTAACATTAATTTATATGCAGATGTGAATACATATGTAAATGTATATGTAAGTATGTAGGAATATGAGTATGAGCATGTAAATATATATGCATGCATATGGTATATTAAAATAGTTATTTTAATTAAAACATATGTTACCTTAACAAATGTGGCGAATTAATTATAGAATTTATTACCTGCAATAAAAAAATAGAAAATTTTAATTAGTAAGGCAAGTAAATAAGTAGCTGTGAGACAAATATGAAAACGTATACATATGCAAGAACATTCAGGGTTGTACATTACTAAAGATACCATAGCTAATGCCTATTCATGTGCACATGTACATATGTATGTATGTATGTACAGTGATAGAAAAAAAAATTGGCACCGAGAATTTTTCGCAATGTATACAAAGTTTTTTAATCAATTTTTTTTCCAAAAATTTTGTATAAAAACATAGTTCATACTACAAGAAAAAACAAAAAAAAATCAAATCTTTAAACTTCATGCAATACTCAAGAAAATTTAATAAATTTGCATACCAATTTGCAACTTTCTAATCAAATTTTCTAAAAAAAAAAAATTGTATGTATGCGGTTTTATAGGCCATTCAATTTTAGTATAACAAAGTGTAAGTTTGAAGTTGCTAAAAAATCGCTTTGAGTTTTGGCAGTCCGTTCCAGTACTTCTTAACCACCATATTATTTCAACTGCTACAGCAAAAAAAAATAAATAAAAAATAAAAGTAAAATTAAATAAATAAGTCTAAAACAGTTCAGCTGGAATCATTAAAACACATACTTGCCTAGTGAAAATTTAGTGATTTTTGGTGAGCTTTAATTTACTAGTATTAGGGTGGTACGTTATGTGGATAAGAACTGTGATTTGGTAGGTAAGTACTAGACTAGTAGTACAAGTGCCCCGTGAGGTCAACGAACTTTGGAAAAAAAATAAATAAAAAATTAACCTCTCAAAACAAAAACAACGTTAAATCCAACTGTAAAAGTCGAGATATGACGAGAAATGTAAAAGACAACCCTTGTGTTCGGCAAAAAATAAATAAATAAATTCTTGCAAAAATACTTAAAACTCACGGATGAAGCCGAACTTTTTTCAGCACGGTCCAATGTACATACACTAGGCGACAAATGAAAGTGTACACCTTGTTCTAATATTGTTCATTCTATAATGTAAACCATATAAATCAAAGTTTCAAACTTTATATAAAGTTCACTAAAATTCAAAAAAATTTGCATCGAAATTTTCAACTTTTTATTCAGAATTTCTAGAAAATTTTCGAGTATGCAACGCGATTCCTTAACCGTTTGAAACTTGCACTCCATTAGACTAAAACAGAATGGGCTAAAGAACTGCATAATCGAAAATTTTCTAGAAATTCTGAATAAAAATTTAAAAATTTTGGAGAATTTTTTTTTGAATTTTTTGAACTTTACATTAAGTGTGTAACTCTTATTTAAATGAGTTTTATTAAAGAATGAGCTATACGTATTTTGATAAATAATTAATGCAAAAAAAATGTCATGAAAATAATTGTGGATATTATATTAGACCAAGTTGCACACTTTCATTTGTCGCGTAGTACATCTACATACATCTTTACGTATGTCCCTCTAGTCTTAAAAACTAATTCTCGCCATATAACTCTGTAAACATATTGAAACAAACGGCAGCCACAAACAGCATTCGGCCAAATTGTACCTGAGCTCAGCAGTGTTGCATTAGCAAATGCCAGCAACAGAATGACAAATTAGACTGACACACAGTGCCGCGAAGGTGGACAAAAATACAAAAATCGACTGTCTTGAAACTTAGATGTTTTGATGTCAAGTTACAGGTAAATCTCCAACTAAGAGAAGTTCATAAGTTATTTTGTGATAAAAACAACTTTCAGCCTCACACACCCCCTCAAAGTACACCTATTTTCTACATACCATTTCATTTCGGCGATTCGCACATAAAAGTGGTCGCAGTTAAAAATTTGTTAAAAATACATTTTTATTCCTAGCAAGATCAACTTTTGCACTTTGATAAAGATATATGCGACAAACCAAAAAATGTATGGTTCATGGAAAAAAAATTTATACAAATATTTTTTTTTTATTAATAAATAATTATATGATTAAACATACCAAAATCCGAAAATTGGTAAACTTTGGAGACAAAAACAAAAAAACATCTTGAAAGTTCGTGAAATTTTTTTTTTGGTTATGGTAGTTTGGACCTTCTACTAACAGAAACAATCGAAATCTCTTCCAACTTTTTCCAATATTTGAAAATTTTCAATTTTGAAAAAGTGACTAAATGCCTTTTTTTGGTATTATTTTAGCTGATCTATATTTACAATACTTTTTCTGAATGCCCTAAGATCTAAATTTTTGGTTCGCTTTTCAAAAATAAGGTGTTGAATTAAAGCTAAAAGTGCAAAAAAAAAAATTAAGAGGTACAGGGTGCTTTGAAATGAAAAAAATTATCAGCTAATTAAAATACTTAAATATGCATCACGGTATGGGAGCCAAAAACAAAGGTATACGAAGATTTACATATATATATATATACATATATATATATATATAGAGCAATGACACCAGTTTACAAATAATATGTTAACCAATTCGGGTAAGGAAATAAATGCAATCGAGACACCTTACAGCGCCCAATGATTAGACGAAAGGCGAACAAAAAGAAAATAAAAATAAATAACATACCTATTACTCTTCATCTGCATAAAGAGTACTATTTTGCTTAAGCAGCAAACAAAAACAGCTTGCGAAAATGATAGTATAAATGTATGCACATCAGGGAGGTCCAATTTTTTTAAATATTTTTTTTNTTTGATTGAGTCTTTTTATAATTTTGTTCACCTAACTAATTACATTACCTGTGCAAAAATTTCAACGTTTTACTATTAGTGGAAAATGTTGTTCAACGCGAGTTTAAAATTTCATGAATTTTTCTCTGGTGCTAAGAGTCCTCTCTTGTGGAAAACAAATAAAAACCCAAGAGTTTAGTGTTTTGTTGAACGAAACAAGAGAGTTATACCTTAGAAATTATGGTTGGTATAACATGCCAAGTTCAGTGCATAAAGTTTTAGTACATGGATGTGATGTAATTAAATACTTTGATTTACCAATAGGTAATGAATTTATTTTGATTTACCAATAGGTAATTAAAGCTATGTTTTCATTTATTTTCTTAATCTGTATTTCCACCTATTTTATCAGGTTCATTATCAGAAGAAGCCTTAGAATGTTCACACAAAAACATAAGAAAATATCGGCTTAATCATTCTCGAAAAACTGGAAGAGTACAAAGCAATACGGATTTAATGACTCGTTTGATATTATCGTTAGATCCATTAGTTGCATTTAAAAGAAATATAAAACAGAGAAACAAATATTTAAAGGGTTCTGATCTCAGCTTTAATAAATACATTGTTGAAAGTGACGAAGCAGACAAAAGCATGGAATCATTTGAATCAGTGATCACTTCCTCCTCTTCTGAGGACACTGAAACTGAGTGATTATAACAACTAGTTCGGTTTTTATTAACATATTATATGTTATTACCATATAACAGTTATTATTACTTACTTACTTAACAGTGATTATGCTTTATTTTAAATGAAATCAAAAGAATTTTTTTTTCTAAAGGTTAACATGTAAGGAAAACCGACTTAATTTTTCAAATTACCATAATGTATTCACTTAGGAAGTAAAGTTTAGACGAATTTTGACTATTAAGACTATTTTTCTGAACACTTAGCAACAATGATATGCATATTTCATTTTTAAATAATCATGTGCAAAAACTCGGTGTTTTTTTAATGGGTACCCGTTACAAAAAAACCGATTACTTTCTTAAAATTAGAGTAATATAGACACTTCAGATGTAAAGTTTCAATAAATTCTGACGACTCCTTCCTGGTTTTCGTAAACACCACAATCAGCAATGATTATGCCTCATTTGTCTTTCATATAGTAATGTAAAAAAAAAATCTTTTTTTTTTTAATGGGTACCCGGTACCGAAAAATCGATTTCATTTTTGAAATAAGCATGGCTTAGTCCTTTTAGGTGTAAAGTTTCAACAAGTTCTGAATACTATTTCGGTTTTTATAAACATATGTCTACGATGATTATGAGTTATTTTACCTTTTTATAAAATTGTAAAAAAAAAATTTTTTTAATTAAATGGTAACAGATGCTGAAAAACGTTTTTTTTTTCTTAAATTGCGGTGATATAGTCCTTTCAGGTGTAAAGTTTCAGCCCATTCTGATGCCTCCTTTCACTTATATCAACACATGTCCACAATGACTATTTTCATATAAAAATGCAAGAAATCTCGAAATGAGTAACCGGTACAGAAAAACCGATTTCATTTTTGAAATTAGAGAGGCATAATACTTCTAGGTGTGAAGTTTCAGCCAATTCTGACCACTCCTTCTATTTTTGTCCATCATTTGTATGGAGTCGCGGCACTGTGTGACAGGTTAAAACTATGAAATCGCTGGCTTTCCATCAAAAGAGCAGGTGGCACACTGTCGCATTGTAGAGTAAAAAAAAAAAACGCCAACAACAAAAAGCACCAAAATAAAAATGGAGCAAAAATTTCACTGCACTCAACTAAATGAAGTGAGTTTTAGTTTTCCGTATATTTTTTTTTTTGTGTTATGATTCTCGTTACTTTGAAGCTGCTGCAGTAAATTGGGCCAATTGCATTTTTCCGTTACAGAACGTGACTGGTGAAATGCACAAAAAAATAAACAAACACGAAAATAGCCAGCTGGACAAATGCCACAAAATTGGCAAAAAGACTAGTTGTTTAGAGGGGGGAAAAAAAACAAACAAAAAATAAAAACCCAACTTCATTCGCGTAAAAAGCTAAAAAAAAGAAAGTGTGGTAAAATGGTTTTTTGGAGAATTTCCCGAGTAGATTTATGCCAATGCTGTTTGCTGTAGCCTCTTCTCACAAGTGTTTCATAAACATACACTCTGCGTAAAAAGTAGCAGAATTTAATAAATAATAAATATGTATTCCCTACTAGGAACAAACATAGAGCAATAATATATTCTGATAGCTAGGCAGCGCTATTAGTAATTCCATTTCCGGTTACCAAATATTTACATACATACATATAAGCTGGTCCAGAAATGCAAAATAGAATTCTCTACAATAGAACCTGCCGCAGCTGTCAGCTAGAAAATAGCGAAGAAAATGTCCAGCATTGTCCGTGTGAATGGCAAAGCCTTGCGAATATTCGGTATATAGTAGTAGGAAGAAGACACATAAGTAGAAGCTCTAAGAACTGATCCATCTGCCGGATAGAAAACTCAATTCGCACAAAAATTGTATTCTGAGTAGCTACTAGCAAGCACTTTAACCAACAAAGTAGCCTATCAATTAGCTAAATATAAGGTGGCGCAAACTAAATGGCCTTTGGCTGTAATTTTTGCATAATTGAAAAGCTTTGGTTCTGCTTTTGGATTGTGTTTACTTGATGTCATGACTTTGCCTGCACTTTCCGCGAAAAGTCTGAGGCTTGCATAGTTAGACTCGTGACTTCAAGAAGTCTGCAACCGTAAAATCGACTGTCCTAATGGCAGATTGACTTCCTTGGTCCAGGGGATGAAAAGGGGCTCAGGTTATTTGACAAGGGATAGGGTAAGGCTCCGAAGCAGTAAAGAAGCGAAAGAAAGATCCCGAACGAAAGACAAAATTAATAAAATAAAAAAATGCTAAAAAAATAAAAATATTAAATTAAATAAAACAAAAATGTCTATTTATCTTTTTAAAACAATAAAACCTTAAAATTAAAAGCAAATTAAGTCAAAAAATAAAAATTAAATGAATTCCTAAAAATTAAATTAAATTTTTTCAAACAAAATTAAAAAGTAAAAGAAAATTATATTAAAAAATTAAAAAGAAAACAACTAAATTAATGAAAACAAAAATAGTTTGAACAATTTTATGAAAAAAAAACTTAATTAAATAAAAAAATAAAAAAAAAAAAAATAAAACGATAAAAAACTTTAATCATAAAATAGGAAATTTTACCAAATAAAAAGAAAAAAGGAAACAAAAATTATAATTAAAAAATAAAAACATCAAAATAGAAACTTTATTGAAAGCAGAAAAAATAATAAAGAAAAATAGCAAACAAAAATTAAACTGAACCGAAGGAAAAACTTCCACTTACTCCTTCCGTTATTGCCCGTCTTAAAGCAGCCCAAAATGGCATAAAAGTGCTTCCTGCTAAAATAGCTTTTCACCATGTTCCTAATATGGGCGTATTCATTGACAGTCTCGGAATGACCAACTTTCGCCGTGTACATCAGTCAGTCTAACTAGCTTTCAAAAGCTCCAGCGATACCAAGAGGGAATCTGTATTTTTTTTTAACAACGTGAGCCATCATCAGCTTGCCTTCAAAGAAATTAGTTAATAGTAAACAAATACTTTCAAAACAAGGTTTCTAAAGATGAATTAAATGGGATTATATATACGGGCTTTCCAATTATTTTGACTCTTGCTCTACCTATCGGCAACATTTTTCGTGGAGTTACTCCTTTTAATGTAGGCAATACATATTATGCAAAAATATAAACTAAACCAGACCATATATGATGCAGGGTTTCTAAATATTTCGACCCCGCGCCACCTACCAGCTAAATCTTTTGCTGAAGAAATTCTGCCAGTAAGATGCCGTTTTTAAAAATGGCAGTAATACTTAGCAATACTTCAGCGTATTGCATTTCTTTGTGTACTTGATTAATTTTTATTGATTTTATTTACATATTTATTTTTCTTTGTACAGATAAGGTACGCCAGTTGTTTCGGTTGCACTTGTTATTTTTGCGAAAAATCTTGTTTACTGCATACTTATTTTTAGCATACACTGGCGGTCATTAGAACAGACTCGCCTTACTTTGAAGAGTTTTGACTATATTTCGATGGTTTATCTTATGTTTAATATTTTTTTTATAAAGCCTTGATAGCTATACAACAAACACCATATAAATCCCCTTTTCAAACTTTATACAAAAATTCGACAAATTTTTACCAAATTTTCAAACTTTTTATTCAAAATTTGTTTTTGTTATTTTTTTGGCCTTTATAACAATTATATTCAACAATTTATATTGAGCTCGGGCCGTTTTAAATTAAAATTTTTATTGTGGAAAAGCAACAATAATTTGAAAAAATGGTAGAAGTGATAGCTATTTCGGAAATCACCACATTTCCTCATCAGACTTCTTTCAGTAGGATTCGAACCGACGATCCCACTGACTCAGCCAGTTGCCTATGCACCGTGCTAAGACGCCTTGTAAATTATCGTTTGCTTATTTCCACTATTTTCATTTTTGTTATGCCAACACAATCAAGCGCAGCTATTCCGCTGCAATTCACTTGATCATGTGGTTGTTGGTTTTGTTGGTTTGTGCTAATAATTCTATTTTTAGAATGCTTAACTTTTAGGTGTGCTCGTCCTTAAGTTATTTGTTTTTTGTTATTTTTTGGCCTTTTAACAATTATATTCAACAATTTTATAATGAGCTCGAGGCCATTTTTTAAATGAAAATTTATTGTGGAAAAGCAACAATAATTTGAAAAAATGGTAGAAGTGATAGCTATTTCGGAAATCACCACATTTCCTCATCAGACTTCTTTCAGTAGGATTCGAAATTTTCATTTAAAACGACCTCGACACAAACATAAAATAAACCATGGAAATATAGCCAAAACTCTTCAAAGTAAGGCGAGTCTATTCTAATGGCCGCCAGTGTATAAACGGATCAATTCCGCTGGTATCTCTTTTTAAAATTAATTACTTAATTGCTGATAAGAGTGTCTATCAAAACTTTAATTAAAATATGGGTATAAAGTTCTTCGAGATAATAAATCATGCAGAATACTTTACTTAACAAAATGCCGAAGCTAAATTCAAATATTTTTTCGCACATTTTTGGTAGGAAACCAACATAAAGCAGCACCCTCAACCCACATCATTTTGAATGTATATTTGTATGTTAACATATATGTACGTATGTACATTAGGGCACATCACTCCTCATACGAACAAAAATCGGCACTTTTTTCCAACGGAACTATAAAAATTAATGTATTTTAATACTTCCGCCAAAATATTTCGGAAAAATATTAAGATTCAAGTAAGGAGAACCCATTTGAAAATATATACCTCCAAAAATGGAGTTTTTTTTTATAAATAAATAAAATTACTTTTAAATAATATTTTTCAAAAAAAAATCACCTCAGGCTTATGAATTCAAGTAATGCGATTTTTAGAAGCATTTTCAAATCGGTCTAGCCCACGTATTTTGGCGCAAATCTTAAAATATAATTCATTTTATAAGATCGGTGGGAAACCCGCAACTTTTTTTGGTGAGGCACCCTAATGTACATATGAATTTATGTATGTATGTATATATTTGTTTTCTTGCTATAATTTTTGCCCTGCAGTTAATCAAATTAACAGCACATTGCCCCCGAACTGATGTTGACTTATGCCTCCAGAAGAAAAGTGAGCAAAAAATCATAGCAAAGTGAATTGCTAAAATATATTAAATGCTGGCATGCATAATTAAGATTTATCTACGGCTATTCGGCACGTCTTTCAGGCTGGATTAAGTGTGATGTATAAACAACTGTGTAAAGATAGCAAATTAATTTGACCCCCTGAGTTGAGATTAGGTCAAAACTGTAACTGCGGTGAGCAAGGAAAAATGTTAACTAAAGATATACTTTTTCTACAAACATATATCTATATACATTAGGGTGCCTAACCAAAAAAGAAGTGCGGTTTTACACCGGAATTATAAAATTTATTATATTTTAAGGCCTTTGTTAAAATATTATCTTATTATTAAGATTCCGTTGAAAAAATTTAAAAAAAATTTTACGC